GCGTTTATCTCATTAATAGACTCCATTGGCTTCAGTCAGGGTGTACATGAACCCACTCACTGTTTTAACCATACCCTCGATCTAGTTCTGACGTATGGAATTGAAATTGATAACCTAAAAGTCTTTCCACAGAATCCCTTGCTATCAGATCATTATCTGATTACTTTTGATTTCTTTTTACTCGATTACACGCCACTCAGCAACAGTTACTATACTAGATGTTTATCAGATAGTGCTGTCACAAAATTTAAGGAAAAGATTACTTCGTCGTTAAATTCAATACCAATACCTTCAGTAACAGAGGTTTCCCGTGCCGACTTTAACCTCTCCCAAATTGATCATTTTGTTGATAGCGCCGTAGGCTCGCTGCGAACAACGCTCGACTCTGTAGCTCCTCTTAAAAAGAAGTTAACAAAGCAAAGAAAGTTTGCTCCTTGGTATAACTCTCAAACCCGTAGGTTAAAACAAATATCGCGAAAATTTGAAAGGAATTGGCGATTAACCAAACTGGAAGAATCTCGTTTAATCTGGACAGACAGTCTCAAAACTTATAAGAGGGGCCTCCGCAATGCCAGAGCAAACTATTACTCAGCATTAATAGAAGAAAACAAGAACAACCCCAGGTTTCTTTTCAGCACTGTAGCCAGGCTGACTGAGAGTCAAAGCTCTATTGAGCCTTGTATTCCTTTAGCCCTTAGCAGTAATGATTTTATGAGCTTTTTTAATGACAAAATTCTAACTATTAGAGGCAAAATTCATGACCTCCTGCCCTCAGATGGTAGGCCTACCTATCTAACCTCAAACACAGCTGTAGAATCTAATATATATTTAGATTGCTTCTCCCCAATTTCTCTTCAAGAATTGACCGCAGTGATTTCTTCATCTAAATCATCAACGTGTCTCTTAGACCCCATCCCAACTAGGCTACTTAAGGAGGTCTTTCCTTTAGTTAACACTCATATATTAGATATGATCAATATATCCCTATTAACAGGCTATGTACCACAGTCTTTTAAGGTAGCTGTAATTAAACCTCTCCTAAAAAAGCCCACCCTGGATCCAGAGGTGTTAGCCAACTATAGACCAATATCTAATCTTCCCTTTATGTCAAAGATCCTTGAGAAAGTAGTCGCAGACCAGCTGTGTGATTTTCTCCAGGATAATAATTTATTTGAGGAATTTCAGTCAGGATTTAGAGTGCATCATAGCACTGAGACAGCTCTAGTTAAAATTACAAATGACCTTCTGATTGCTTCAGACAAAGGACTCGTCTCTGTTCTTGTTTTATTAGATCTTAGTGCGGCGTTTGACACAATTGACCATCAAATTCTACTGCAGAGACTGGATCACTTAATTGGCCTAAAAGGTTCAGCACTAAGCTGGTTTAAATCTTATTTATCTGATCGTTTTCAATTTGTTGACGTTCGTAATGAATCATCCTTACGTACCAAAGTTTGTTTTGGAGTTCCGCAAGGTTCTGTGCTCGGACCAATCCTATTTACTCTATATATGCTTCCTTTAGGTAACATCATTAGAAATCACTCTATAAATTTCCATTGTTATGCGGATGATACACAGTTGTATTTATCGATGAAGCCAGAAGAAAGTAATCAATTAACTAAACTCCATAACTGCCTTAAAGACATAAAAAATTGGATGAGCACCAATTTCCTGATGTTAAATTCAGACAAAACTGAAGTTATTGTTCTTGGCCCCAAACAACTCAGAGACTCTTTATCTGATGACATAGTTTCTCTAGATGGCATTGCTCTGGCCTCTAGCACTACCGTAAGAAACCTCGGAGTAATATTTGATCAAGATTTGTCTTTTAATTCTCATTTAAAGCAAACCTCACGGACTGCATTTTTTCATCTGCGTAATATTGCGAAAATTAGGCCTATCCTGACCCGAAAAGATGCAGAAAAATTGGTCCACGCTTTTGTTACCTCAAGGCTGGATTACTGTAACTCTCTATTATCAGGTAGCTCTAGTAAGTCCTTAAAAACTCTCCAGCTAATTCAGAATGCAGCAGCACGTGTACTAACAGGAACTAAGAAACGAGATCATATTTCTCCTGTTTTAGCTTCTCTGCACTGGCTCCCTGTAAAATCCAGAATTGAATTTAAAATCCTACTGTTAACTTATAAAGCTCTAAATGGTCAAGCTCCGTCATATCTTAGAGAGCTCATAGTGCCATATTATCCCACCAGAACACTGCGCTCTGAGAACGCAGGGTTACTCGTGGTCCCTAAAGTCTCCAAAAGTAGATCAGGAGCCAGAGCCTTCAGCTATCAGGCTCCTCTCCTGTGGAATCATCTTCCTGTTACGGTCCGGGAGGCAGACACCGTCTCCACATTTAAGACTAGACTTAAGACTTTCCTCTTTGATAAAGCTTATAGTTAGGGCTGGCTCAGGCTTGCCCTGTACCAGCCCCTAGTTAGGCTGACTTAGGCCTAGTCTGCCGGAGGACCCCCTATAATACACCGGGCTCCCTCTCTCTCCCTCTCTCTCTCTCTCTCTCTCTCTCTCTCTCTCTCTCTCACTCTCATCCTATTACTGCATCTTGCTAACTCGGCCATTCTGGATGTCACTAACTCGGCTTCTTCTCCGGAGCCTTTGTGCTCCACTGTCTCTCAGATTAACTCATATCGCAGCGGTGCCTGGACAGCGTGACGTGTGTGGTTGTGCTGCTGCCGTGGTCCTGCCAGATGCCTCCTGCTGCTGCTGCCATCATTAGTCATTAGTCATACTTCTACTGTTATTATACACATATGACTATTGTCACACATGTATACTGCCAGATATTAATACATACTTTCAACATATTGTACCACAGTAGCCAGAACTATAACTATAATATTATTACTTTCAATAATGTTGTTGTAAGCTACTGTCATTACCTGCATCTCTCTCTCTCTCTCTCTCTCTCTCTCTCTCTCTCTCTCTCTCTCTGTCTCATTGTGTCATATGGATTACTGTTAATTTATTATGCTGATCTGTTCTGTACGACATCTATTGCACGTCTGTCCGTCCTGGAATAGGGATCCCTCCTCAGTTGCTCTTCCTGAGGTTTCTACCGTTTTTTCCCCCGTTATAGGGTTTTTTTGGGGAGTTTTTCCTTATCCGCTGTGAGGGTCATAAGGACAGAGGGATGTTGTATGCTGTAAAGCCCTGTGAGGCAAATTGTGATTTGTGATATTGGGCTTTATAAATAAAATTGATTGAAATTGATTGATTGATTCAAATCAGCTGTTCTGGAACCAGAAACTCAGAGTTTCCTATCTCAGAGTAGATCAACTCAGAGTTCAGGATTAGACTCAGAGTTTGTTGAACCTGCTTTGTGAAACGGACCCCTGGTCTAAAGACCTAAGGGACCTACTGATGATATATGGATGGAGGAGATCACTGATGTATTCAGGTGCCTGACCGTGGAGGGCTCTAAACTTGAGAACACGTATCTTAAAGTAAATCCTGAACCTGATGGGAAGCCAGTATAAAAAGGCACTAAAATGGGAGTGATGTGTGTTGACCTGTTGGACCTGGTTAACAGTCTAGCAGCAGCGCTCTGGATTATTTTAAGACAATTCAGAGAAGATTTGTTTAGACAAGTAAAAAAAAGGGTTACAGTAGTCGAGTCAATGAAAACAAAAGCATGCATAATCATCTCTAGCTCAGGTCGAGACACCACAGACCTGAGCTTGGGATTATTTCTTGGCTGAATAAAACAAGTGCATGTCAATGATTTACCATTATGATCAAAATGCATTAAAAAGCAATCAATGTACACACATCTCCTAGGACCTTCAGCTCTTGATTTTGTGTCTTTGTAGTTTCAAAACATTATTTAGTATTATACTGTTAGAGCATTAAGAGAGTAACCTTTCAAAAAACTTCACAGACAGACTGTAAAAACATGATTGCTATGCTTTGAATCATTTGAATCATATAGTCACAATAGGGCAGAAAGCTTGTTTGTTCAAAAGCTTTCACTTTTCAGGAAATGGGGGAAAAAAAACTGTTGCAAACTGTTGCACAATCCGCCTGGCCACACCCAGCTGGCGAAGCCTTGCCCGGTCTGCGAAACTAGAGGCCAAAGGGTGACGAATAGCATTGATTATTTAAAAAAAACAAAAACAAAAACAAAACAATGACATATGGAAATACAACGCTTCCACCCGACAGTATCAATACAAGTTCTACATGTCAGATGGACCTACCCAGATATGGTAACACTGAATAAATTACACAGTGTATTTGTTTAAGTTTCAAAGAATAAACTAGAATTACCGCCTCTCGGCTGATGCTCTCGGTCGTGGATGCCTCACACACATCTTCAAGATTATGATGTCACAGCAGAGTTGAACTTTGACCTTTTGTATACAAAATTTTCATCTCCATCATAGTTTTACTGTTAGACATTTGTGTGAAATTTTGTCATAATAAGCGTATGAATTATTCAGTTATGACTAAAACATGTTTCATGTGGTCACAGTGACCTTTGACCAGCAAATTCTAATCAGTTCATCTTTGAGTCCAAGTAGATGTTTATCGCATTCAGGAGAATGAGTTGGACAACATTACAGTGACCTTTGACCTTTGAACACTAAAAGCCAATCAGGTTATCGTTGAGTCCAAGTGGACGTTTGTGCCATGTTTGAAAAAAAATCCCTCAAGGTGCTCTTGAGATTTCTTCTTTATGAGAATGAGACAGACAAGGTCACAGTGATCTTGAGCTTTGGCCATTGATCACCAAAATTGACTCAATTCATTGCTGAGTTCAAGTGGACGATTGTGCCAAAATTTCTTGAGACATTTTTGAGATGTCGTGCTCATGAGAACAGGAAAGACAGATGGGTGGACGGACGGACAGAAGTTATGGCAGCTATAAGGTTCTCAGCATAATCTTCTCTAAGAGCATCATGGGAATGACAAATGTTAAAAGTATTTCACTTAAATGTGATCTAATCTATAAAGTTTATGTTTGTGGGGATGTGACTTACTGAGTATGTTGGCTGTATTTTCTGTTGTGATCTCTATCTCCGGCTCGGTGAAATACTCTGACGCCACGCATCTGCCCTTCTCTGGTCCTGAGGGACAGAAAAAAAGATAACAGATTGAGAAAGAAGGAATGAACAGAGAGATGAGTGGGCGAGCAGCTGAGTGGGAGGTAAGAGTTTCTTCTGTGGGTCACAAACAATATGGAATATCTCCATAAGAAAATAAAAGGCAGAATAAACAAACAAGAAAACAGACATTAAAAAACATAGAGAAAGGGCAGATGGAGAAACCGAGACTTAGCAGTGGCAAGTAAATAGATTTCCAAAGGACAAATGAAAAGAGGTGAGAGAGGATAGAGAAGCAGAGAGATTAAGAAAAGGGAGAAATGGGGAAGCAAAGAATGGGAGTGAGAGAAAAAGTGAATTAGAGGCAGAGACAGATGGAGGTCAGGAGGTTCAGGAGAAAACAAGGTCTGAGCTGAGGGAGAGAGGAGCTGAATACAGACACAACAATTAACCTCAAACTGGAGGCACAGAGAGGACACAAACACACACAACACATATATACACCGAAATACGTCAACAAAATGATGCATACATGTACAGACAGACAAACAGTATTTCTTTTTTCTCCTCTCTCTCTCAGTCACATGCACACACACACACACACACACACACACACACACACACACACAGCCGTTCCAAATGCCACCAGCTTTTCCCTCCTCTGACCTTTTGTACCAGGCGTCAGACAACAGGGAAACACAAACATGGCCACCTCCCCAGAGCAACACCATCATGACCCGAAACACAGAGACAGCTACTGCAATAAGGACAGTTATTTGTATCTGTGGTGTCCTCCCTGCTGTGTCAGTTTGTGTGTGTGTGTGTGTGTGTGTGTGTGTGTGTGTGTTTTGTGTCTGAATGCATGAATGAACATCTTTTTTTTTCTTATTGGGGCACCATGATCTTTAAAGGCAAAATTCCACCAGAGATGACACACTGCTTCACTGACTCTCACACTTTATTCATTCTCAAATAATCTTTGGCTCTAACTCCCCCAACATTAGATGTGATGTTAGGGTTCAGGGGTCATGATGGTCATCTAATGCCAGTGGGTCTGGCAATTCAACAACATGCGTGTTCTGTTTAAAATCAGTGGTGTGAACAGTGCTTTAAAATGATCTTCTGAGTCTTCCTGCACTCATATTTCTTTTTCACCAACATAGAACAGGCTCCATTTGGGTTAACTCACCTAATTTTGAACCATTCGGAGCATTTTGACCAAGAATAAATTGATTTGGATTGAGAAAAGTTGGTTACCACCAGGAACCAAAAAATCAGAAGGTTTTCCTTGCCCAAGGTGTGAATTGTGGCATCAGTGGGTGTGTTCTACTCTACAGGTTGAAAAGAGAGCATGGAGAAAGCAGTAATGGAAAATTCAAGTGAGAAATTGTCAGAACTAGAATTATCGCTCGCAGTTTTTATGTCTCTGCACAACAGTCAGGTTACAATTACACATCTTCTTGGCAGCACAGAAGATCTATACAGACAGCACAGTTTAAAGGTGGTAACCAAGATAAGAGTCACCAATTCAGTATCTGAGCAAATGTCTTCACATGTGTTCCTGAGTTATGACAATGAGTAATGGCTAGAAATGTGTTTTTGCAGAACATGATGATGTCAAAGAGAGCGTGCCCTTTGACCTTTTAGATTTATAATCTCATCACTTCATCATTTTATCCTATTAGACATTTGTATGACATTTTGTAATAATAAGCATATGAATTCTTACGTTATGGCCAAAAACATGTTTTGTGAGGTCACAGTGACCTTGACCTTTGACTTTCAACCACCAAATTCTAATAATTCCATCACTGGGTCCAAGTGGATATTTGTGCCAAATTTGTAGAAACTCCCTTAAGGCCCCCTTGAGATATTGTGTTCATGAGAATGAGACAAATGCAAGGTCATCGTGACCTTGACCTTTGACCACTGATCCTAACCAGTTAATTGTTGAGTCCAAGGGAATGTTACCAGATTTGAAAAAAAAATCCCTCAAGGTGTTCTTGAAATAGTGCGTTCACAAGACTGAGACAGATGGGGGTAGTGACCTTGACCTTTAATTTATGACCACCAAAATCTAAAATAGAAGTTGGTGCCAAATTTAAAGAGGATCATTTTTTAGATTGTTGTTTTTCTTAAAGCAGTATCATCAGCGGGTAGTCAGTGAAATCCACCATCTTGCTTCAACTGTTTAAACACACTTTTGATTACAATGGTACCACTCAAAACTGGTGGAAACATGGACTGGTTTTCAAGATAGCACAAAGGTTTTGAGAATTCTGGATCAAGAACCAGAGCTCGAAAAGTGGTTTAAGTGCCTGACTGGTTCCTGTCAAACTCAGTAAACAATCTGTACTCTCACAGAAATAACATTCATGTCACCTGTCCATTGAAACAGTTGTCCATCTGGCAATGATGGTAAAACAGTCATACTTTGACAGAAGAACTGTAAATCATTTGTAGATTATAATTACAACCATGAGTATAAAGGAGGAGAAGTGGGCTTATGTGGAAGTGGGACTTAGACAAACAAGTGCATTGTGAAAATGGCCTCAGACTTGCATGTTGGTCTGCATAATGTTTCAGGGGTTTTCCTTTTTGTGATACAAAATACCAATCTCTGCAACACAGACAAATAATGGCATTAAATTAACATTTGTACCTGAAAAAACAAGATAAATCAACAAACCATGCAAAACACCCAAACATAATCAGCAGAGAGTGACATAAAATGGTAACCAACCTGCAACAAAGCAGACCCTCCAAAGGCCAGAGTGCAGCGCCATCTTGACCTCAGTGGTCTGGTTTTGCTGCAGAACGATTCCCTCCTCCATCAGCAGCCAGTAGTCTGTTGACACGGCAACACCCACCAACAGCAAACCACAGGCCCCGAAAACCGACGAGAGCAGCGTCAGAGCCCTCGTACTGAACGAACTCATCTGGAGAAAAAGAAAACAATGGTGTTGGTTAGATGATGGCACAGACTGCACGCTGAAGACGAGAGTACATTTATAAATGTGTTGGATTTAAAAGAATAAACATAAGGAGCGGATAAAAGAAGTGGATGGAATAAAAAAAAAACAAAAAAAACAAGCCGAGATGTGAGAGAGAAGAGGTGAGGAGAGGACAAAGATTGATTTAATTTATTGATTTTTAAACCTTAAAATATGCATAAGCAGATCAGAAAGGAATGGAAAAGATGAGTGAGGAGCCTCTGATTTAAATCTTTCTTGACTTTCACTGACTCCAGCTGTTAAATATGTATGTAGCATTGGACAGCAGTTGAGATGAAACGACAGGAGAGGAGAGGAGAGGAGAGGAGAGGACGGGAGAGGAGATCCACTGAGAGAAGAAGAGGAGAACAACCTTGGACGAACTGAGCCATTTTCATGCTGAAAATATCAAAGCATTAAACAGCTTCCCATAACATTTCTGAGGTTTCGAGGTGTTTTTCTTCACGTATTAAGGGACTATGATTAAAAGCGTTTGCAAAAAGCATGAGGTGCCGGTAAAATGAAAGAAATGAGAGACAGAGAGCAGATTCTAATCACACAAAAAGTGGGACTGAAAAGACACAAGGTAGAGAAGGAAGCTATGATAAACATGATGATCTGAATCTAAGAAATGTTGGGAATTCAACAAAAGGTTTTCAGATGAAAAACAAACCACGAGGAAGCTCAAGTGCACACTTCAACAGGAGGTTTAGGACTGTATAGAGTGGTGCAGTAATAAGTCCCAAAACCTGCAATTTAGTTAGCATTTTAGCACTCCCAATCTCCACGTCTCAAAGTCAATAATTCTTTTTTTATTGATTTTTGGTTAGGTGCCTGAAATAAGGTCTGTTGTTAACACAAGCCTAAAAGATTTTTACATACTTCTGTGACATAAAACATACATCAATAAATACTCAACTCATGAATTTTAGAGCATTTGGGTGTCTTTAAAAAGGCTGTTGCTAACATGTGGCTAAATTAGACATCTTGCTGGACCACGACAAGCAGGGCTTTACAGCCTTGTTGTGGTGACGATGTTGAAGTAATGCAATCATGGTGTAGTTTGTTTAGAGCCTAACGTTAGTTTTTTACTTCTTGCAATTGCATTTGTGCTTCAACGATTATAAAAGTGATGATTATCTTGCTGAGCAACACGTGAGTATCATAAATCTGTGTTTGCCACAGAGCTTATTTTCTGCAATAAACCAAAATCCATTGTAAAAAAAACCCATTGGCTTTTTGTTGATTTGTATTCAAGGCATTGTTTATTTTCATGTTGGCCTACAAATAAACGTTATCCCTACCGCACTCTATAAAATATTGGACGCAGCCACCGTGACATCACCCATTGATTTGTGGAGTCTCATTCTGAAGCATAAATTTTGCCATTTTGGCCGTCACAGTCTTAAACATTTGGAGCCAGAAGTGACCGAATACAGACAATAGGGTGAAACTACCCCTAATGCTAGCTGCTAGCTTGATTAGCATAGTGCATATACAACTGTGGTTAACTGGGATAGTTTTCTCAAGTGTAAAACATACTTCCACCATCCGACTCCTTAAAGGGTCTTTTAGTACAACCCAATGCTTAAAATGAACTTCTAAGAACTGAAAGCACACTGGCATGGTGATAGCTATGGCTACCCCTATACTCTGTGAATCTGGGGTTACACCATCTTTACGTTATGTGACCAACATTGTCAGTGTGGTAGCGTCTTGTTAACACATGGCATCCAATATCACTCAAAGCAACCACGTCTTAAATTTGTGTAATTTTAAGCCTAATAAAATGTAAACAGGTGAGTTATACAATAATTCGCCCCTTGTACAGTTTTCACGAAGAAGGAAATGAGCTATAGAAACCAAAACATTTTTCGTGCCAGGCTGTAAATATGTTTATTTCTGCTGTAAAGTTGTGCATGTCAACATGGGGGTCTATGGGGATTAACTGGCTTCTGGAGCCAGCCTCAAGTGGCAACTAGAGGAACTGCATTTTTTTTTGTAGGCCTACTACTGTGTTGGCTTAATTTGTTAGCCCCTCACTTTACCAGATGGGAGGTACAGAAGTAAAAAAAAAAAAAAAAAAAAAAAAAAAACCAGCCATACTGTAACTATAAGTCACTCAGAAAGCACAGACCTCAGCTAAGGCCAAATGCCCCACCTCATAATGCTAACAAAAGTGAAAAATAATTCATGTATCTGCCTCATGATTGGGATTGGCTCCAAAATGATATGGATTCTTTTTTGGCCCATGTTACGACCTTCCACTAAGTCAAATGAAATGCCACTAGCTTTTCCATAATCCTGCTGACAAACAACCAAACTGAAAACATATTCTCCCTAGCTGAGCTAATGAAGGCAGAGAAAGTAAAGGAGGAAGACCAAACATGATCAAATGTATCATTATCAGTGAGCAGGGTGAATCTGGAGAAAAACACAGATAAATTTTCAAACCCACTTCAGAATGGACAAACAATATTTAGTTTCTATAATGGAGGAAGAAGGCGGAGGAGGAGGGGGAGGATTTGAAAAGCAGGAGGTAAATCTTCCAAGAATAAAATAAGACATATTGGAAAACAGTAAGCTGGACCCCGACACCAAATGACATTCTACAGAGGGCAAAGAATAATAAGTATTTACTTTAAACATACAGCTAACTGAATGGGAACCCTGTTGGCTCAAGACTGACAGAATATGACTCAGGTGCTTTTCTTTTGGGGCAGGGGCATCATAATGGGGGTTAAAGTGGGACTGCAGAGCCCCAGTGGGAGGGGGGGTTGCTAAAAAAGCCTGAGTGAAAGGTTTGGTGTTTGTCTTTTTAAATCTGAAATACTTGGTGAAATGATTTAATTCAAATTGGCTGAAGTAATCAGTTGACAGACTAAACTTTGTACTAAAAAGAAGTGGAAGATCTCTGTGGACCCTCTCACCGCTTCACTGCAAAGTAGTTAAGTCCGCCCCGCACTATGATTAGCAAACGCGACAAGAACTGAGTGAGTTACTGCCTATACAGCTGGAGCATCAACTGAAATTGGGGTTCCAAAAAATACAAGAGGAAGAAATGAAAGGGAAAGAGAGCAAGCTGACTTTGAAAAAAAAAGTTTTAAAAGGTGCGTGACAGAGACACAGATCAGGAGATGAAGGGCAGGGGGGTGCACAAAGAACTCCTTTGCATAGGGCCCAGAATTTGGTGCTACGTCCCTGCTTTTAGGAGTCATAGTTAGAGTTATTTCAAACCTGCATGCAAAGCAGAGTAAGCTCTGGGTGCAGGTATTAATCAATAATCAATCCTCTTTTGACAAAAACAGCATTTTTGTTTATAGTTAAATCAGAGAATAATCCAGAAACAAGAAATATGTTAATAAATAGCTATTCATATAGCATATTAATACACTATGTATATAAAACAGTGCTAACATGCTTTGAAATATGTCCAGCAGTGATGTCAGGCATACAGCATTTCTTTGAAAAGGGAATATGAATGGAGTCTGGTGTGGTCAGAAAATGTTTTAAATCTTCAGGAGAGTTTTAGGTTTTGCGCATTTGAAACTACAAATATGATGCCTTTGGCCATGATTCCAGTCCCGGTGGGTGTCCCTAGTGATCATCTAATGAGCCCCTGCTGGTCTCCAGCAGGCCGACAAGTCTGTCAGGCTTCCAGGTAACATGCAGTGCAGTTTGACACTCACTAGGTGGCAGAAACACTGCCTCTGCCATGCATCATTTCAGCTGTTGACACACTGAGAAACATCCCCATCTCTCTCTCTCTCTCTCTCTCTCTCTCTCTCTCTCTCACACACACACACACACACACACACACACACACACACACACACACAACCTCGCTCACACAGCGCCTCATCCATCCAGTCAAAATGGAGGTCACTTTCACCATGCTGTGGTGTCTGTAAGTGAAGCAGGCGTGAAATATCATGGACTGCTAACAAAAACACAGACCCAAAATGCTGCTATGCTGTGGTCAGACACAGGGTGGACTGATTATTATCTGTCACGTCCAACTATTTTCATTTCAACACAAAATATTTTACGGTCAAATAACCTGCCTGTCTCTGCTATGAGCCTGTATACAGTTTACTCAAAGCCAGACGACATGCAGCTGAAATCACCTGCAGCCACAGTGCAAACTATTAATTAAAGCTGAAGTTGAACCGTGTTAATAAAGTTCAGTAAAACATGCCGTGGGCAAATACTGACACGTGTACATTTTGAGCTTTTAATGTACAAGCTGTACTTCTGGCAACACATGAGCCAAAAAACTGGGGTGTCAAAATATGTCACTATGTTATTAACACCATTTTCAATGCCTAAACTGAACTGTGATTCCATAGTCTTTGCTTGCCTCATGCAGTGTTTCATGTTATTATTGAAGACGCCAACCAACACATGCCTAATAATGTACTGTGTAAAGGAGTTAAGGCAGGCGCCAGTGCACGCTGTTAGTAATCATCAAGTCTCCTGTAGTGGAATTAACATCATATCACGCATGCATACTCTTATAATGATGGCACATTTGCAGATGGAGACATGACACAGATTGCTTATCAATGTATGTAATATTCATTCATTGTGCAAAATAAGAAAAAGCATGTCGGCCGATTCTAATAGTTCATTTCAAACCTGATATCTGCCGATAGCGAAGACGTGCCGATATTACTGTGCATTCCTACTTCTCTGTTTAAAAATGCATCACAGCTTACTGGACTTGCAGATGTGCTCAGCTTGTCAGTCTCGACAGATTTTTCTGCCTAAACTAGCTGCCAGATCATAGCACGTCGAAAAATGATAGATCAAATAGAGACTTGACAATAGGCACCATCAACATACATGTTACCCAACAGTCATCATTGCATACCTGTATACTGCAAAGATCATGACAGACTTGGGTTTGCATTTGGCATCATTTTTTTTAATGAACGTTTTTTGTT